CTGTATATAAAAGCTTTAAACAAACGAACTGCACTTGTGGTGGAACCAACTGAAGAGGTCTGCCTGGGCCACCCCAGCAGCTGATATGCAGCCACAGGGTGCTTCAGATCTGGGAGGTGGCTCATCACTGGCACTATAGACAGTCTGGTGTAGCGGTTAGCAGTGCAGGACCGGGACTCAGACGATCTGGGTTCGAGTCCCCACTCAGCCATGCAGCCAACTGGGTGACTTTGGGCCAGGCACAGATTCTCAGCCCAACCTACCTCACAGGGCTGTTGTTGTGGGGGTAAGATGGAGGAAAGCCACTTGGCTTATGTAAGCCACTTGGCATTCTTTGTAGGGAAAATGGTGGAATATCAACCTAACAAATATAGCATGAATACAGCATGGAGACCCAGCTTCTGCAAAGCTCCCTGCCACTGGGGGACAGACAAGACCCATCCGGGTGCCTTCAGCACCTGCTCAAGACATCTTTGTTTTGGGAAAGCTTCCTTGCCGAACAGCCCTGGCAATGCAAAATTTTTGTGTTCTCTCTCTGTGTTTCATGGCTCTGGAACCTGCCTGGAAACAGAGCGGTACACGACCGCCAGGGTGTCACAGTGGTCGGAGTGCTGGACTGGGAGACCCGGGTTCCAGTCTCTGCTCAGCCATGAAACTCACCAGACGGCTTCTGGCCAGCTGCAGAGCTCCAGCCTAGCCTACCTCACAGGCATGCTGGGAAGGTAACAAGGGGTAAAGAGGATGCCTTGAGTCCCCTACAGGACAGGAGGAAGAAAGGTGAGCAACAACACTAATACTGGTAATGGACTGTAAATCACCCACAAGGCCGCACTGGCGCCTGGCTTGATGGGACATGGGTGCGAGGCACCCACCACACCCACGCCGAAGCCTTGCACCCACGTTCAGGCAAGCCACCCAAGCCCTTTCACCCTGCATCATTCTGGAATTTTAGCCACAGACTCAGCAGGAGCAGCTTTGCTTTTGTACAGCGCTGCTGCAGTATCGGCAGGCGTCTCGTAACCCTGGGGTAGACCGGCCTTTCTTCTGACCCATCTGGTATTCTTAAAGGCAGTCCTGCAAACCACAATGGTTCAATTCGCTGCTTATCACATTCCCAATCTGCTGCTTTTCTTCCTGAAAGGACCCCAAAGTGGAATAGCGAATCCTCCTCCTCTGTTTTATCTTCACAACAACCCTGTGAGGTAGGTGAGGATGAGGCTCAGCGACTGGCCCAAGTCACCCAGAGAGCTTTTTGGTGCAGTGGGGACTAGAACGCGCTGTCCCAAGTTCCGCACAGCACTTGCACCAACACATCTCACTGGCTTTCGGTGCCGCAGTGGCTCCGATACCAGGTTGCTTTCAACGCATTGCCAACTTTCCCTGCAAAAGGTTGTGCTCAGAGCAGCTCAAAATACATTAAGCCTATAACACAACTATGTATACAAACACACGCACTCCCACACCTATGGGCTTAATTCAGCTATGTTAGCTCCTTGCGCTTTAGCTCTTGGTGTGCTTTTATATGCATTTCTTTCCTCTGCAGCACAGCTTAAGTCTTTTTCAAGAAAGGTATGGAATACATTTAATAAACAGAAATAAAAGAAATGTGTCAAGTATTTCAGTTCTAAGCCAAATGGCACTGCACCAAGCAGAGCTGCACCCGGGTTGAAAGAATCCCCACCACCAACGCATGCAAAACCAGAGATAAATTGCAAGTAAGCATGAGGGCACGTCGAAGAGACCCAAAGACACAGAGAGAAAGAATGTCGGCGGAGGCATAGAGGGAAGGGGCGCGGCCATCCCAATCCTCACCCCAGAGCTGTTCCAGTGTCTTTCTCTCTGGTTAGGCCCTATAGCAGCATCCCCCTTCCATCCTGGATTGCCGTTCCCATCAGCCCAGTGCTGCTACCCAGCTCTTCTGCGGAGCAGGAGATTGGGAGAAGGTGAACCTACACAATTGCTTCATCTTCTCGCCATCAAACCCATCGCCGATCCACCCCCATTCTAAAGAAGGGTGGGGGGAGAAAGATGGAAGAGGGGACTGAGCCATCCCATGCTAATCTTAAGCATGCATTATAACTATGATTCAGGCTTTAAGTGATACAGAGAGAATTAACTTCGCCAACTTAAAGCCTTAAACCCCCGCAAGTACCCGGGTTATTTTCATGGGCTTCGGCAAAGCAGCCAGGACTAATGTTGGTTCCTGCTCTGACTCGCCTTGTTCTACTCCCACAGTTAAGTCGCCGTGGCTGCATTAGTCACACTGAGAGGCTGTGTATGAAGCCAGAGCAGAGCTTGCTTGCACTAGGGATTAGGGACTCCAATCAAGAATAGGCACCCAGTAGCGATAGCTCAGATTTGGGGGGCTCAGTCCATGAAGGTTTGAAATAAGTCTTGAAAGATATACACTTGGGCATGCGGAGGCAGAAAGAAGTCCTAAAACTCCAAGCATGTGCGACTTTTGGTCTTTTTTCCTGCCTGAGCATGCACAGAATCGTGCCCTTCATGAATCTTGGATGATCTAGAACTTGAATAGGTAGAACGCAGAACCGGAGCTACTGACAGACCCCACGGTGTTTGCAGAGGAGATCGGCAAGTTTTCTAAAACCCAGGTGGTTAACACTGGGTGCAATCAAGTGACCCTCATCCCCTTTCAAGTAGGTCAGCTGGGGATTATGGGAAATGTAGTCCAACACATGCTGAAGGCACCAGGCTGGGGAAGGAGTCTATACTTGTTTCCTGGATTGCCAGTGTGTGCGTCTGGGGCAGGCGAAGCACCAAGTTTGCATTTTTGCTTACCGAATGGGCCGACTGGGATGCCTGGAGCAGCTTTCCCTATGGCTGAAACGGGACTGTCACAACTGGGATGTGTTGGGGCTGCCGGACTAGTTTCCTGCCTAAACACACACAGGAGCGCAGCTTTAAAGCTGCAGCACCCAAGGGTCCACCTACCGCTACAAATGAGACCAGGGCTCCTACTTCTCGACTTTGGGCACCGCCTAAAGAAATACCTTTTCTGCTGGGCTTTCCCAGCAAGGCGACTCTTGTCCCACCTGCATCACAGGGAAACGGCTTTCATGCAAATGATGTAGCTGACTACGCCTTGGTCTGGCTGAGCAATCCAGCCGCCCTGCCTCATAACAGATTGCACTTCTCTAGTTCAATCCTGTTTACTCTGACTGGCAGTGGCTGAACACCTCTTGTCTGATGCTCTCATCTGCAGCCACGGGGAGCCAAACCAGGGACATTCTCCATGTGAACAAACCAGGTCTTTGGCCTTACTTCCAACCCGCAGCCCTGCTCCAGCAGCTTCCTGGCCAGCTCCTAGAATATGACTCTGATCTCAAAGACTCCCACCATCCCCTCCCCCGCAGCTTCCTCCTAAAGACAGAAACACACACTCTAGCCCTTTTCTCTCCAGCGCGGACAAGAGGTTCTGGCAGAGCTTTCCCTTTACAATAGCTGCCTGAGGTGAGATACAATGCAGAACGGGTGGTGGAGATGCAGTTGTGCCCTCGCACGGGGGAGCCTTTGCCCTCACCTTGTCCGGGACTGAATTGGGCAGAGGTGCACATCTTGCCAACCTTTGGTCTATTGTTTAAAACACCCTCTGAAATGCCAGAACATCACACTGAAAGCTTTGCCACCAGAGACCCCCCACTCGCTCCTGGATTCTGTGTCTGTTTAGACAACACACTTCAGTTCGGAGAGCTGCTACCGTTAGAATGTTGTTCTTAGCAATGAATAAAATCAAAACAGAACGATCATGGCTTCAATACAATGATAGTCGATCTTCACATTGTCAGCCAGGAGAGAAATTCAGTAGATTTGCGGGGTGGGGGGGACCTCCCCTGAATAGCACATTTCTTTTGCTGTGATAGCTTTCAGAACTCTAAGCCCAATTTCCCCGATCTGGCAGACTCTGGATGCATTTGACATCCAGTTCCCATCCTCTGCCTCTAGCAGGGGAACTGATGATGGAAGTTCTTGCCCCAGAAACCCAGAGGGTGCCGAGTTGTGGAAGGCTGCCCAAATCTATGCTCAGGCCCTTTGTGGGCACGCCAAGGCAAGGCAGTCTGCTTCCAAGCAGGAATGAAAGAAAAACTGGGCACTTTTATTTTTTCCCTCTGCAATCTCCACATCCTCTAATTTGTATGCTTTTTTTTTTTTTTTGGTTGAAAAAGGACCATTTCCTGAACCCAAAGAAAGCAAGCAAGGAAGCCGACAAGATTGCTCTGTGCCGAACATCGACAGAAAGAAGCGCACCTGGTCCCGACAGAACCATTTCTGAGGATACGGTTAAGGCAAGAAGACAGAGTTGTTCAGCATCAGTCTGCAATGGCGTGAAACAATAGCTCCCCCCCTCCCGCCGCCACTCTGGTCTCCTCCACCCCCCACCCCCCAGGTCCTTTAACCTCCTCAGTCAGCTCTCAATGCCTAGCAAAGAGCTTGCAGGGAGAGGTCTGGCCCCAATTGTCTGCTGGGCGTTCAGCTGCTGCAAAGGCTTACAGTGCCCCCTGCAGGTCCAGGACAGAAAGCGCCTGCTGCACTTTTACCCACAAGCAAGAGGCTCCGGCAAAGCTGCTCGGAAGAGCAGAATTGTGATCCAAACATGATGGCGAGGGGGGGGATGCCGATGCAGCTGCCTGCCTGCGAGCGAGCAGGGAACAGACCCCCCGCCCCGACTCAGCGGGAGTTCCTTGGAGGAAAGCGTTCTCTTTCAAACAGCTCTGCTTTCAAAATAAGCATCCGACGCAACGGAAAAGTGCAGCCTGCCCGACGCGCCGGTGCAGTCACAGGCGTCCGCCTGGGGAAGGAAGACGCATCGGCGTGCGGCCAGCTTGGCGCGCATCACGGACCTTTTCTGATTCAACGGGAAAACCCTCCCTGAAGCTGGATGCTCCCTCCAGCATCGGAGGCATGTCGAAACCGGCCAGCGCGTCGTGCCACTGCAAGCCCGATGTGTGCTCGGTGGGGGGCGCGCGGGGCCGCCTCCTTACCTGAAAAGCTCCCTGATCTCCTTCACCGTTGCCTGGAAGGGGATGTTGCGCACGAGGATCTTGGAGCTCGACTGCCTCTTGCTGGTCTGCTTCTTGCGGCCCGAAGGCACGGCGGACCTGGGAAATCGAGAGACGCAGGTGAGCTGTGCTGTGAGGGATCACAGTGGTGAAGGCATTTTCCGGGAGAAGTACAGGTACAGGCCGAGTTGCTACTCTGCCTTCTCTGCCCTAGGGCAGCTTCTGACAATAACGGCAGAGATGAAAAGGAGCGTCGATTCCTAACCCTACCCCTACCCCGGGACTTCCTAGAGGGGACTACAAGTCCCATCAGCCTGCGGGGCTTACAGTCCCACATATCTAGAAGGGGTCAAGCTGGAGCAAGCAGATTAAAATCCAGGGAGGCTCCCTGGTTTCTGGTGTAAGTGGGCCTGCTTGAAAGTATTCTGGATGATCATCATAGAATTTTTGCCACGGGGCTGCCATGGGGGGGGGGCATATGTGGTTACAGAACCCCTGTTTCAGACAGCCATGGGGAGGAAAGGCTTTCTGCCCCACTTAGACCTTGCTCGAGCAACTGCAAAGCAAGGCAACGCAAGTGATCCGGGGGCTGGAGCAGCTTCTCTAGAAGGAGACGCTCCAACAACCGGAACTGCTCAGCTTAGAAAAAAGGCGGGTCAGGGAAGTGTTCAAAATAAAGCATCCAGCGGAGAAAGCAGAGAGGGAGAGAGTTTCTTGCCTTCCACAATACTCAAACCCAGGGTCATCCCCGCAAGCGGACTGCAGGGAGGTTTAGGACCGATCAAAGGACGGACTTCGTCACACAGCTATGGAGCTCACTCCCACGGGAAGCGGTCATGGCCAGCAATCTGGACGGCTTTTTCAAGGGGCTGGACAGACTCCTGGGGGAGGACGCTATCCAAGGCTACTAGCCTTGCCGGCCACGGCTACCTCCTTTACCAGAGGTGGCCCGCCTGCATACACCCGTTGCCGAAGAACTTGGGCGGGGGGGGCTCTTGCCCCCACCCTGCTTGAGGGATCCTGTGGGCAGCTGGTTGGACACCGTGCATATAGAAACAGAGAAACAGAGCGAGTCAGAAGGGGCCTCCCAGGCCATCTAGTCTGACCTCCGGCACCAGCCGGCTCTGCTCACGACTGGATGGACCTTTTGTCTGACCTAGTAGGGCTTTTATGTTCTTAACTTCTTCTTGAGCACGGATATGCTCCTGGATCCTTTGGTCTTCCCTCAGCCCTGAACACTGGTTTGTTCTTCAGACCACTGGGTTTTGCCATGGCTCCTTCGTCACCTGTGCCCACAACCTTGTCCTGACACTCGTTCAACCCCAAGCATTATCCTTTTATTTATGAGTTGCCCTATAGCAGACTTTCACAGGTAGGCATGTATAATAAAACCTACTAATAAAACACGGTCAAGGCTTTAAAGCACAAACACTGAAAGTAATTTTATGAGAGGTAAATATTCTAGAATCTAAAACATAGAAAGTATTATTTTAAAGTGCATCATTAAACATATCATTAAAAATAAAGAAAGCAGCAGTTAAAGATTCTTTAAATGCCTGAGAACTCAAAAACATTTTTGCCTGGTACCTAAAAGTCGGCAAATTAAGGAAAGTAAGCCAAGGATGATTCTAAATACGGAAAAGATCCAGGACTCAAGCCCATGGGACAAAAGTACACACATTTCTATATGCTAATCTGCACATGTACGCATCCATATGTTTATAGAGGACTCGATTTCCTAAGAACAATTTTATTTGTAAAAAGGGGTGTCTGGACAGAGGAGAGGAAGGCACACACACAGGTAGAAAAATTTGTGTGGGGGAACAGGAGATGAAGCACATGGGGAAAAATGACAGGTTGATCAGATATACGAGAACAGATGTGGTGCCTTGATTTCAGCAAGTGCCCATGGCAGCAGGCTGGTGAGGCAGTTGGCCCCCAAGAAATTCGGGGTTCCAGCCCAGTAGGGTGCCTGCTAACAGCACCTCTGCGCCAGCAGACCTCACTGGAACGGGCATTCCACAAGGGCACCACAGAAAGGGTTCACTAAGATCAGCCATCCACCTGCTTGCCAGTTAACAACAACAGTAGTAACAACACTGTCAGTTTTACCCTGGATACGCTCTGTCAGATCAGCATTGCTCTGGGCGAAGACACAACCTTTGGGAACACAGAAAGCTGCCATCGGTGCATCCAGCCAGTGTTGTCAACACAGGCCGGCAGCCACTCCCAGCATTTTTGGCAGGATTCCCTCCTAGGCCTATCTGGAGATGTCAGCACCAAACCAAGAACCTTCTCCATGAAGAGGTGTGCTACCACGCTGGGCTGCAAATGCTTCTGGAAAAAAATGGCTGACCCATCCCCTTTTCAGCTGCCGACAGAACTAGACAGAAGCTTGGGCAAGGCCAAAAAGAACTCGGGGCGGTCATAAAACTTACTTGACGGCTCGCTCAGAGATCTTCACTTCCAGTCGATGGTCATCCACGGAGCATCCCTGCAAAAGGAAAAGGCTGCTGAAAGGAATGCTGGGACTTAACAAACCTGACGTGGCCGCAGTGCTTGCGCAGCGGAGGACCCAGAGCTGTGCTTCGACAGAACACACCCCTTCACTTTCAAGCATTCCTCAGCCTGCGAGGCTGGCCTGGGGAACGCCAGGAGCAGTACGCCCTTCTTCTGTTGGCACTCGCATGGGCTGCACCCTGAACTGGCCACCAGCCACAGGGCCAGGATGACAGCAACTGTATCCCAGCACTGCTAAAGGATACCCAGGCTGAGCTACAATTAATTTATTTCCTGTCAGATAGAAAAGATGTGCCCTTGATGAAATGGGCACCAGAATTGTGTGCCTATTTAATATCCTATAACTTTTAGCACAACAAGTACAGACAGGATGGGCCATCTTAGGGGTAAGCTACACGCTACATGAGAGATCCAAGAGCGATTCATATAGACTAACAATCGTCTTACAATTCCCCTGACGATGCTCCTTATGGAGTCATCCAAGCACAAGGAAGAAGAGTCAAGGCTTAGGGCAAGACCAGTGCTGGTAAGGCAACTTTGGAGAGAAAACTCAAGAGGGGAGAAAATCCAAACCAGAACAGGCGAATGAGGGTTGTTTTCACATCTGGCAGCTACAGAACCATTAACCATTATGCCAAGGGCACGTAATGGCATATCCTTTAAGAAGGCATGGCTGGCGTGTGCACTGAAGACTAGCACTCCAAGCAGCAGCATTTTCTCGCAAATCCCGTGTGTGCCATTACCTTCATAATGCACCTGGTTTTGCATGCCTGCACATCCTATTCACAAGTTATGTTTCTAGGAGGACACTTAGAAATAGGGTAATCATGAATACCTAAATTAAATTAATAAATAAAATAGTGTGGTAATAGGCCACCACATCCCTTTAGTAATAGTATAAAGATAAGTTAATCAGGTTCAACCTAAAAAAATATTTGAAGAGGCCCTATGAATACATGAAAGCAAAAAAAGATGTGCATTTGTTTTGTAAACGATCCAGAAAGCTTTGACTATTGAGCAACAGAGCAATGCAATTGTTCAATAAAACATTGTGTCTATAAATCAATGGAAAAAGGTGGGACATAAATGAAGTAAGATCTATCACTTCCTTGAATCAATAAATCTTAGAATGAGATCAGAGAACAGTATTTGGAAGAAGCCGATGGGCTGGGAATTGCAGAAGTGCTGCAAGAGTTCGGAAGACGGGACAGTTAACCGGGCTGATTGAAGATGCCGATTTTTAATGAGCAATCCTAGCTTGAAATGTGAATAAACTGGTAGCAAATGAATCACAGGTATTTAGTACGATGTCTCAGCCCAGGTCATGCTATTTTGTTCATGACCCCTGACTAGCAGCGGTTCTGGGAAATAAAAGGAACTTTTCTGCCACCTGCCACCTGATCTTCCTAAGCCAGAGACGCCAGGGACCGAAGCTGGGACCACCTGCAAGCAAAGTGGCGCCTCCATCACAGAGCTGTGCTCCTTCCCTCCAAGGGAAGCAGAGCAAAGACTTTTGCAATTACCTGCAGCTGCTTGAGGGCCTTTTGAGCATGCTCTGGCTTCCTGTATTCCACAAATCCGAACCCCATCGAGAGAAGCGTGCCTGGAAAAGAAAAGGCTGGAGTTGAGGGAGCCTCCTGGAAAGAAGGCATTAGAAAAATGCCCCCAGGAGGCTGCCTTGTTTCAGGAGACACTTCTCAGGAGCCCAATACTGTCCACTGCCATGGGTGCCGTTTTGAACTGGGTCTGCAGCAGTTTCTCAGCTTCCTACTGGTGCACACAGGGCCAAACTGGGTCAGGAGCCCTGGCCTACCCCATGGTCATGGGAAGCTGTCTTATCTCAGGCAGTGCTATCACTGAGCCAGGCCAGCCTCACCAGCTGCAGGGAAGCCCAACGTGGCAGCAGAGAATTTGGCTCCATTGCTCGTTAGCCAACCTTTTCAACCAGGGATGCCAAAGAGCCAAACTGGGGACTTTCCACATGTCAAGCATTCTTCCCCCGACTTATGCTCCCTCTCCTTACAGGGATGCATTTGGGGCACCATTAAGGGAAGGGATAATGTGTGTGTCTTTGCGGACTTCAGCCATGCAGAATCAAGGCCCAACCCCTCTACTTCTAAAAATGCAACTGAAGATTGATTAGAGAAAGTACCGGCTTTGTCTTTCTTCTTGGAAACAGTGCAACTCTTCACCATTCCAACTTTGGAAAAAACCTGGAAAGGAAAAGAGCAACAAGTAAGTCAGTTTCATTCTACAGGGCGGCAATGAAGGCTATTGAGATTATGTTGAGGACTAGCCCCTTTTGCAGGGCATGAAAAGGCAGTGAAGATTTCAGGACACAGAAGGTATGAGGTTGGAAATGAGCTGTGCTTATACAAGGCATAAGGGACACATGAGCCCACCTGGTCCAGTACAATCAATGTTCTGGCGGAAACTTCTCAAGACTCACCTTTCATCTGAGGTAATGGAGTCACAGATAGGAAGCCCACCTGGGAAAAGCAGACTAGACTACTGCATCGCTTTCTACATGGGGCTGCCTTTACAGAAATCTACCTCTCTTAGAGTTTCCTCTGTGGTGGCAAAGTTGAGGTTCTTTATGAAGAGTGTACACCCTGGAAGACTTTCTTCTTCATCATCATCATCTTCATCGTCTTTTTCATCTTCCATTTTGATTTTCTCTGGTTCTGCTTTAACTTCCTCATTTTCACAAGCACCTATGAAACGAGCAAGCACGAAGTGATCATCCAACAGCAATGAATTCCCCCAGATTTGGCTTTGATTAAAAAAATGGCAGGGGCATTAAGACAAACTTTAAAAGGGCATGCAAAGAGAATGTTGCATATATTAATATACTGGAGATTACAATGGACAGTTAACCGATGTTTGCTTGGTTCAGCAAAGGATTTGTTCTGTTGTTTTTTCCCCTTCCTCCTAGTGTAAGTTAAAGAGTAATGAAACTCTACTTACAAAGTTTGTAACCATCAAGCTTATAATACTGAAGAAGTCACATGTTACTTTTCAGTAACTGTTGCCATTTACTTTAAAAAGCATCTCCTGAGAAGTAAGCCCTGTGTGTTTGTCCGAACAATGATCCTGCTTATCATTCTCTATTTTTATTGTATTTATTTCAGTTTTATACTGCCCAATAGCCGAGGCTCTCTGGGTGGTTAATGAAAGTTAAAATTAAACAAATGTTAAAAAGATGCACATGTTAAAAAAATTAAAACCAAATAAAACACATCAACAGCTATTGCGATTGCTATGATTCAGCATAGAAGCAGGACAATCATGCAGAATAAAATGGACTACATAGGAACCAGGTTAAAAGTTAAACTATTAAAATGCTGGGAAAATAAAAAGGTGGTCGCCTGGCACCAAACAGAACACTAAGCAGGTGCCAGACACGCCTCTTCAGGGCCTCATGCCAGAGCTGGGGTGCCCCAACCAAAAAGCCCCCCCCCCCCCCCCATGGCCACCTGCCCCACGTCCTTTGGCAGGGCCTCCCAAAGACAACCTCAGGTCCTGGGCAGGTACACATGCGGACACTGCTAAGTGATATCACATGCTGGAATATTTAGCAAGTTCAGTATAAGATTAAATAGACTGTTAATGGCACTTTTTAACTGCTGTCACTTTTTCTCTGCCACCCTGGACAACCCTCTTCCTACCCATGCACGAGGGTAAGATGAAAGCAACCATGGCCTCCGTCTTTCACGGGAGGTTCAGAGACTGGCTGCAAGGGGCAGGGTCTTTCTGGTGTGGTCCCCACCATTGTGAAATACTCTCTCCAGGAAGGCCCATCTGATGCCAACAGCGTCAACTTTTGGGTGCTAGGTTAAGACTTTGCAGGCATTCTGTGCCACAGGATGGGCCTATTTCTGCCATTCAATCAGGTCTTCGTATTGTATTCATAATTTTTAGCCGTTCCCATTGTTTCCCAGTTTAAATCTATACTGGAAAATGCCTTGAGCCTTATTCTGCAAAAAGAATCAAAACACGTTGAATATCACCATTACCCGCAGCAGAGTTGTGGGTGCAGAGTTAGGGAGAGACAGGGGTGGGGGTGGGGGCTAAGCAGGAGCAAAAGCAGCTTTTTTGTCTTCTGTTCCCAGCTCCACAAAGCCTTCCCTCCCCACAGCCCGCCAGACAAATAAAAAGTATCAGGTTTTCCAATTAATCTACAAGGGCCCCATCTTAACAGCCCTTTAATGCACTAATGAAAAACCCCTGAACACCACTGATAATGTTATCCCTTCTAACATCAGTGGGACAAGGGCAGCTTTCTCTTCGCCTTGCTTAGGGAAGGAAATGCGCCACTTCTCTCTGCATGCTGTCCTCCCCACCTGAGCCACGGCTACAGCTGATTAAATCATCAAGGAAGGAGCCAGAGAACACAGAACTCTCTTTTCTCCTGTCTTGATCCACTAAACTTATTTCCTGGGTTGCATATTCGCCTCCAAACTGCAGAACTACAAGGGGTAGCAAATGTGCCGCTGGTCACAGAATACGGCCTTACAAGAGTATGAACTTGCCATTTCTCCGAGAAACCAATTTCTCGTCCTCGCTGTTGCAACGGTCTCCTTGAAAGTGGATCAGCGATGCCTGCTTGCAGAACTGGCCAAAGCCCGCAGCAGGCAGTAAATGGGATTTCAAGGCACCTTCCGCTGCCTTCCCCATAGTGAAGCCGAAGGAAGAGGACATGTGAAAAACAGCATCCCCCCAAAACACTGGGGCAAATTTGCACTTGGCAGAGGCTGCAGAAGTTGGCTTCTCGTGGCTCTGATCTCTTTTAGGAAACGCACTGTGATGTTCTGCTCTGCACACAGAGACTATGGTCAAACTCTGCAATGGAGGAATCTAAGAATAAGGGATGGGACGGAGCTTCGCACATGTTTCGCGAGCAGGAGGCTTCCTGATTCCATCCACGGCACCTCCACTTTAATGCAGGCCCCAGCTGGAGGCGATGGGGAACCCCCTGACCTAGACTGCAGAGCATGACAGTGTTTCTCCCGTGAGGCCAGGAGGAGCATTCGCACCTTCCTGCAAGAGTTTGCAATTTCTGGGGTCAGAGTTTTAAGAGAGTTTTGTGGGCGCTCTCACAAAATGGCTACCACGGGGACGAGGCTTGCCCATTCATCAAACAGCGGCAGCGGTGGGCAGGGCCAGCCACACTCATTTCCCAGAAGCCAAATGGGTGAGACAAAGAGGAAAGAAGGGGAAGTACGAGGCTGAGGTGGGCCCCGAGTCCCTCAACACAAGTCTACTCTTTGGGGCCTGCATAGAGTCGGAGCTGCAGTGCAGCCCTTCAGCTTTGCTGGCCCGTTTTGCTCTGGTCTGAATGGAAGTTAATGTATTTACTGCAAAGCCAAGGGGGCAGGGGGTCTGCCAGGAGACCCCAAGCATCAGCTGGCCCTACTTTCCCCACGCCTGCATTCAAAGCACAGCCAGGTATGCACACAACATGCCATCAAGGCAAGTATTCCCAGAAAGAAAGCAAGTCATCCTTAGGTAACTTGAGGAAGCAAGCCATGCCGTATCCCTAGACCCAGGATTTGCCCCACCAGGACATCCCAACATGGCAGAGCCACCCAACGTTTGGACAGCTACTGGCTCCATTCTCAGCCCGCATGGCCAGAAAGGAAAAGCCTGGATCAACAGACATAGAACTCCTTGCCCCATGGACTTAGTCTGGAAGACAGTTCCTGAGTTTTCCACCACTGAGCCTCAAGTTTGCTTTTGCCCCTTCGGAAACTTCTTTCCCTGGCAGCCCAAATGACCTTTCATGGTATCCATTTGGCCCTGAACACATTCTGAAACTATGCTCTGTTAATCTTCCACAGCCACAGAAAGAGCGCGTGTGTCCCAAAGTCAGAGAGAAAGAAGGGGTTGGTTGCAGGGCCAAACGAAGCAAAATTTGTTTATCGTGGGCCTTTTCTGGCAGCACAGTGGAAGGCAGGGAATGGGCCAACACGGGCAGCCACGAGAACCGTTGCCGATTCTCAGGAAAAGAAACCCGATTAGAGCAATGGGAAAGGAGGGGCGGGGGGGGGGAGAGGAAAGGAATCCCTCCCCCTCTCAATCTGCAGTTTGCACAATAAAAAGAGCCAGCCTCACGCTGCTCTTTTGTAATCAGGCGGAGGAATTTGCAGTCGCTTCCCCCCGGGCGGCAGAAACCCTTATCGTCCACAAGCAGATTTCTCAGCGCTCTGGCGCTTAAAGCCCTTTATCTCGAGGTGAAGGTCCTGGGTGTGTGGGAAAAGAGAGAAAGTGCTCACAGAGACCAGGCTGGGGAAAGAATCGTGGGTTTGGTCTGCTCCTTCTTTCTCCTACTTCCTTCAGGACACGCAAACAAATTTTTTAGATGATGTTTAAAAAACCCAAGGTGAGAAACAAAACAAAGACGGTCTTGCCATTATGGGAAAAAGAGGGAGGGCTGGATTTATGGCTCACAAACACGCAGCCTGCCCTCTGCAGATCCATTCACCTTTCTCCTCACTTGTCCTTACCCTGGCAGTGGAACCTGTGTGCGAGTCTGGATGGGGACTCAAAGGCCTGAATGTTGCTCAACACAAAAGCAATAAAGAAATCCTCTGCTCACAAAACACCTGTGGATCAACCGGGACACTTTTCACCCTGACACTCTTTCTTTCTGCATGCAGGTATCTGGTTGTCTGCCTGCTTCTGATCAGCAAGATCTGGTCACCTAGGATCTCAGCAGAGACTCCTCGACCTGGTTCATACGTGACAAGCCCCAGTGTGGTAGAATATGGATTGTTACTGAGTCGTGGGTTTGTCTGTTGCTCTGTGAACCCAGCCTTCCTAAGCACAAACAGCCCACCGTTCACAACCCAGAAAGCAAACCTCAAGTCCACTTCATGGTTCAACCACGGGTGGGTAGCACAGCTGGGTTTGCACAACCCAGAACCAGCAATAACCCACACTCCAATGGCATTCTGGCTTGCCATGCTGTGTGAATCCATTCTTCTTGAAGATTGCAGTGCTCTGGAAGGGAAGGCCTGCTGGACCAGGCTTGGTCACGAGAACCCTCGAAAACACCTGCTCAGACACAGTTATAAGAAGTAGGATTCCACGCACACACGCGCGCACTGAGCTTCAATCACAGAGGTATACCTGTTGGCGCCTGTGCTTCGCCTTCCTCTTTGCTTCCCGCAATCTTAAGCTCCGTCTTCGCAGGGCTAGAGAAGACGCCCATTGGTGCCCATTCAAGGTACAGAGGGATATGTCGAAACTGAGACAGAGAGAGGAAGAGAAAAAACCCTGCATGTCAGCACAATACCAGGACCGAGGTATCTGAAGGACCACCTTCCGCAGTGGCAATGGACCTGGGGTTTAAGATTGGCTGGAAAGGCTGTTTGTAGTGCTCTCAGCCCATGTGGCTACTGAAACATGGCTCATGGGCTAATGAAAACGATTGGTTCCCCTCCGTGGGGGCAGTACAGATCTGCAAATCTTCCCAGGGAAGATTTCTCTGCCCTCGATGCTCTTGGTGCTCAGGCAGTGACAAAAGAAAAATTTGTGGGCACTTTAGGAGTTCAGGTGCTTTATCTTTTTCAGCTGTTTTAGCATGTCTGCAATTTTTAGAGTCATGACTAACGCTATTTATGATGCTGAGCTATTTTTGAGGAGTTGGGAACTGCCCTGTGCTCCAGGTGAGGAAGGGCAGGAATTTAAGTCAACAAAGAAGCTTGAAATTAAGAGCAGAAAATACAACAAGGGGATCGTTAACTGTTGGGAAGTTTAAGTGAACAGAACATGTAGCTTTGACACCTCAACATCCAAATGGGAAAGCGATGTAGAGAGTGATGAACTAGGACTGAGGAGGCCAAGGTTCAAATCCCTGTTCCACCGTGAAGTTTCTTCAGGGCCCTGGGTTGCTTGCAATCTCACCTACCTTACAGGGTTGTTATGAGGATAGAATGCGACGAGGAGACCCATGCCCAGGCCAGCTGCAAGCTCTCTGCAGGCACCACGCTGCGCGATGCCCCGGCGAGATCGCAGATCTTTGGGAGAAAGTGTTCTGCAAGGGCAAACCGCTTCTGGGGGCCTACCTGAAGATCTCGGGGTGTTTTCTGAGCCCAGAACTGCTTTGCAACTGCCATCTCTCCCTCTTACCTTCGAGTAGGCCAGCTTGGTGAATGCTCGCTTTGCTTCTGTGGGTTCCAGGAACTCCACAATGGCCGTCACGCCTCCCTCGGGGAGCAGCACCCGGCCAAGGCTGCCGTAGGGCCGGAAGACCTCCTCCACCTCCGTCCCCGTCGTGCCTGCAGGCAGGTTCTTGACCAGAATCACGGTTTTACTCCGCTCGCCAGCAGCCTGGCAGAAGGAGGGGACAGAGGGCCTTGGTTCACGTGCTGCTGTGCTGCTTTCCAAAACCGAGGTTTCCCCCATGGTGACTTAGGCTTCATGTCGTTAGAAGCACTTAAAGGGGGGCAGGAGCCCTACTGCAGTCCTACCATAAGTGTGGGGGTCACAGGCTTGAATGCGCCTAGGTTTTCAGCATACATTTAGGGCTGCTTTGCGTGGTGACTGCCTGGGAGAGGGCCACATTGTCCTCCATCCCATCTGGTTCAGGCATCCAGGGCTAGCCGAGGGTTAAACAGCCCTGAGCTACCCCTGTGAGAAGCCCTGCCGTCCAGAGTCAGGTGAGTGGGAGGAGCTGGGCGAAAACAGTAATTCTGTGTTTGAGGGTAGGACAGATTCGTCCCTGGTCCTGAGGGTCACACACTGAATACCGGTGAAATCCATTTACCAGGGGAATGACTCAGCCAGCACATTGCAGGGTGGCGTAGCCCCCTTTCCTCCCCCACACAAGGTCCCCCTCAAAATTCTGCAGGTTGGAAGACCCCTGCATTAAGTCCAGTGAATGCGGCGCACATGGAAAGCATCTCTGTGTCGACCTGGAATTGGGAAATGTCATTCTGTGCTATTCGATCTCCCTCTGCGGCTGCTCTGGCACCAGAGGGGAAAGCAGCGATGGCACGGGACCAGCGAGAAGGGCGCCAAGGCGCTCAGCACTTACCTGGCTGAAGGAATCCAGGCTCACGCCGTTATCTAGCAGGAACTGGCGGACCTTTTGAACGAGCTCCGTTTCGCCCAGAGCCACCCTCACGGCCACACTGCCCTTGCCCTCCTGCCAAAAGAGAACCAGCCGTCATGATGCCAGGCCTGGGCCCTGCCTCTGTGCCTCTGCCCATGTTCCAAGAGCAACTCTGGAGGCTCTACTTGCTGGCCCACCTGTTAGACTGGCAGGCATGAAAGACGGGCCCTTCGCTGTGAAGGCCCCACATTCGTGGATCACCTTCAAGCCATCACCATGCGGACCCAGCTGTGCACGAAGGCCCTTCAAAAGGGCCTGGAAGCCTGCTCGATTTGAATTGCTTTCTCTCAGAAGAACAGGATTTTTTTTTATTTCTGCCTGCAGGTCTTCAAAGCAGCTTGCAAAGCAAATGTGCAAGACTATCCCAAGAAAAACAGTATTAAAAAGCTGAATTTAAGACACCCTAAGAACATCAAGCAGCAGAGCATCATGATACAAACAAGCTGACAAGAAAAAGCAAAAGGAAACCTTAAAATATTATTTTAACTCAAAGTTGAAAGGAAGAACATGTTAAAATTCGAAAACAAAACTCACGTGATCCAGCACTTGGCTCTTGGTGGTGTTGTATTTCTGTGCAATAGCGTCGGCCACAGCATTTGCTCCCATGAAGAGCGTGTTCCAGTTGTGAGAACTAAATCGTTGAAGGTGGAAGGCAGGAGAATAAAACAGGGGCCGTCTATCAGGTGCATCATAGTAATATGAACTGCAGATCCCTCCTCCTCTTGCCCTGTTCAGGCCTCACTTTAGCGTGCAGTGACCTTAGAAGATGTATAAAACTGCTTACCAGGTCACCTATGGTGACCAGAGATCCCATGCAGGTGACTAGTGGGTTGGTGGTGAAGGGCTCTCACTCCAGCGCTTTTTTGCACATCTACTTGGTTCTTGCTGCAGAAGAACAGTTTGACTTCCACCACAAACAGCATAGAAATGGAGGGTGCTAGTCTTCCAGCAGGTAAATAAGCCCTCGCCACAAACTAGTAACCTTTGCTGGGCTTATTTTCCTAGGATGCGCTACTTGCCAACCTCTGATATGAGAATAGCAATGCTGATCTAGTTCTTACAGGGGAAATTGTACCAATAACTGAGGCAGTTCATGCCAAGAATGCAGAGTGATTCTTTTAAACACTATCTAAACTCCATGTTCCTATTATTCTTCCCAGTATATTCGGCTACAGCAGTGGACCGAGAAGAGAACGGGTTGGCGCAGAACTGCTTGGTCCAGTTAAGGCACCCATCAAAAAGTGAAAGAGACTGTCATGAACCCGAGAGGGGTCAAAATGTGGGTTAGCGAAAAATGAAAGCATTCCATTTGGCTACTGGACTACCGACTCAATACCATTATCAATGTTTTTAGAAAATAAGGAGTCCTACAAACAGATTTTCCCCCCAATCTTGTACAGTCCAAAGGCCCCCTTTTCCATATTCATACAAGTCTCCCCACTCTGTTGACATAATTTGCCAAGCGCAGGAAAAGGGACCCCTCCCTGGCCCAACAAACCTGGAACTGTTGGCTTTATCCTTGGAAGCCTTTTGCTTCTTGTACGAAGAACCCTCTGCAAGGTCAGAACTGTTCCCTTCCTCCTTCTTCACAGTGGACGGCAGCAGGTGCAGCATCCGTCCCTAAAAGAGCAGAAAGTTAACAGTAGTTTTCTTGCCTTGCCGTGATTACATTGCCTGCACAAACACAGACAGCTCCCGGCCATACAGCATGGGAATTATGGGAGCTGCTGGCCAACACAGCCGAAGGGCGCTAGACGGCAGAAAGCAACTATAAGCATGGAGCTAAGCCCAACTCTGTGCAAACGTTTGTCTCGCTGGCATCTAGTTTTGATTGCAAGGTAGGGGGCCTACCCACCTGTCCTCTGTAATGCACCTGCCTATTGCTATGGGGAGCAACCCACTGAAAGATGGCCAGCCCCATCTACGGAATGGACCTCCCAGATACTCACCAAGCGCCATCCTTATACACATTCCGGCACCAGACCAAGACATTTTTATTCAAGGAGCATTTTAATTGTTGACTATTTTAATTGGAATTTGCTTTTAACTGGTATTTTAAAGTAAGTTTTAATATTTGTAATTATCATGTTTTAGGAGTTTTGCAATAGGTTAAACTATTGCAACTATTAAACTATTACTTGGTGTTCCTGCTACGAGGGTGATGTTAGTTTAATTTTATTATTTATTGATATTGTGGTTTTAATTGTTTATGTATGAAGTTTGATGTTGTTGGTTTTTAACTATGCAAACCATCTAGAGAGCTACGAGATGGTACACAGAAATGCTAAATAAGTAAGACAGTTTTAAAACTTTCATGAACTTGGGACACACCAGATGTGCCGCTCGGTGCCCCCTGAGCCCATGTGGTTGCAAAAACACGCATGCGACTGTGAAGGGCCCGCTGAAGCTCTTCTCTTCTGCCTGGACCTTTGGGCAGCAAAGAAGCCTGTGCCTGGATCTACTGAGAGCCCTTTACGTGCTGGACACGAGTTAGCATGAATCCAGTTTTTGTAAAAGAAATGAGCGAGCTGCAGAGCACAAGAAGGGGTGCATGGCTGCCGAAGGGGTGCACAGCAGCCCACACTCCCCCGGCCCAAAGAGTCTGCCACCCTTGCTGGGCTCTGACTGGCAGCAGCTCTGCTGGGTGTCAGGCAGGGATCGGGCCCGTCCCTTGCAGCCTAATCCATTTTCCCTCTGTAACTGGAGAGGCGAAGACTGGAAGCTGGGCCCATCCTCAAGCAAAGCCCCTACCTGGAAAACTTGCCCATCCACCTCTGCAAAGGCCTTCACGGCGTGCTCAGGGAACATGTACGTGACGAAGGCAAAGCCCTTGGGCTTCTTCGTCAGACCGTCAATGGGGAAGTGGATCTCGGAGAGAGGGCCTGCGGGAGAGAGGGAGAGGTTGGACTCCGCTGGAAATGCTTCATGACCGGTTCTGCAGGACAGCAGCTCCCACAGGGGGGGCTGAGGCCTCTAAACCTGGACGATCAACCCACCACGGGTAGGAGGAGCTGGTTCGAGAGAACCACTGGAGAGGTGGCTGGTGGGGACACCGCAGTGGCGCCTTTCCATTGGCTGTGAACCCACTTTTCTCTGAGCCAGGCCTGCCCTGCCCTGCCCTGCCCTGCCGGTCCTCTGGTTTTCATTCATTAAAGCAAGGATCCCGACCTTTTTAGGCTGCTGGGCATGCCTGAGACTGAGCGTATGGCACTGCTCTCACAACACGGGTGCCGTGTCTCAGTCATTTCCCACAAGGCAAACGGCTGTTGCTAAAAGAAAAGCAACTTGGCCAGGGGTCTGCATGCTGCGCCAGCCAGAGGGCCCCGGCTTCCAAAGCACAGAGGAATATTCTGAACTGAACATGGACCTGGAAAGCAGCTCCTCGCTCTGCAGCCTGCCAAGCTGCCGGCGTAATTTTTAAGAGAGAATTCGAGCAGAAGAAATATTAGAAAGCAAGAGCCTGGCGAGTGCCAGGAGAAGGGTCCCTGGGCATCACTCTGCCGATCCAAACATTGACACATGCAAGTACATTAGACAGACAATAACCATTACGCAGTACTGCCTCTCATGAAGGGTTAATGCTCTTCCCTGCTTCCAAGAAGCACGCAGATTTTTTTTCAGGGGTAGCTCTGACGTCCTACTAACTTGTTGCAAATACTGGGAGTTGTGGGCAATTTTGCTGCCCAAGCTCAGTGCTGCACCTAAACATAAGCAGCGCTTTGGAGGAGGGATGGGTGGCGCCTACCGTGTTTGGAGAACATTGCTTCCAAGTCTTCCTCAGTGCAGGTGTAGGGAAGGTTCCGGACAAACAGCCTTCCCGACTCGGAGAGATCCTCTTCTTCCTCATCGTCCTTTTTCGTCCTTTGCCAAGCTTGTGCGGGGCCCTTCGAGGAGAGCTGCTTCTTCACTGTGCTCTCCTCGGGGAAGAGTTCGATGTACCGTCCACCTGTCAGAAGAAAACTTCAGGGTGGGATGCAGGGCAGAGGAACAGACACCGGCACCAGCGTGACCACCACAATACGGCCTCTTCTTGAGCAGAAGCACGTAGCCTCCAGGCCAACCTGGCGGGGGCACAGCTACACGATCTACCCTGACAGATCATGAGCCTTGTGGCCCTCCAAGATGCCTTGATCTCCGATGCCCATGATCATCCACCAGCGGTTAGCCTGGCAAGAGCAGGTGGGAGCGGTGGCCCTCTAGAGGTTTCAGCAGACCTGTTGCTCCCCGCTGCTCTTTCCCATCTTTCTCCTCCTGTGGAGCTCAAGGTATGAAGCTTCAGATCAGAAATGGACAGACTGACTTTCATCTCTCAAGGAAAAAGAAGATCCAGTTTACTACCAAACACGGGACTTTTTCTATCAATGGCTACAGAATCGGAACTCTACTTTGGAGAGAAATACATGGCATTTGTAGAGAGAAATTAGACTTTGTGTACAGTATGTTTGAAGTCTTTGGAATAATCATTTGTTTAGTGAGTAGAAAACAATAAAATTTTGAAACCCGAAGGTATGAAGCTACAGATGTATCCCAGGTAGTTTCCTCCTGAAGCACTATCTAGACCCAAACCTGCTTAAGTTCAGCATGGAGGGGAGGCCATGTGCCTTCAAAACATTCCCGGGGACCTGAAGAGTCCACAAGCACCTGAGGGCAACTGAGCCAAAGTCCTGCAGCTTCTTCCCCTTCATCCCACCGGATACGACCCAGGGCACCATGTTTTGGCCTGCATGGCCGATGCGGGTCGAGGGGAGAACAGGCACTGCAGTTTGGCAAAGGAGACAGCAAGTCCAGTGCCAAGTAATGGTAGAAACCTCTAACAGAGTTTTGGAGGAACTCCCTCAAGGTACAGTGAATGCAAATCACACACACTAAGTAAAATAGAAGGAACCTACCTGCAGTCTATATATGTGGAAAAACTCACAACACCAAGAGGAGCAACATTGCTTTGTTCTCTGCATGTTTATAAAATATACCAGCTCCTTGAGATACAGTCGCTCATTCACAAGGAATTTTTTCCCATTCATATCCAGACAACAGAAAGGCCTGATTCTCTTTAACATACTCCAGAAAATTATGTGCAGGGCACTCAAAATAGAGCTCCCCCTTTGGAAGAGCGTCCTACCTACCCATGTATTCATGATTTCGTTTCAATGCCTTCTGCACTTCTTCCTCACTGTTAAAATCGACAAATACATAACCTGGGGGGAGGAGACAGAGAAGCAGCTTAGTAAGCATCATGTAGATCTCTTAATGACAGAAGACATAATTACAGATTAAGCATGCAATGAAGAACAAGCCAAGAGGGCGGGATGGTTCTCCCCGGAACGAAAAACATTTTCCTAACCAGGTACGCAAGATTTACAGTGCAGTTAGACCCCCTGGACAGCAGGGGGGGCAATTCCAGGAGGTTCGGGGGCATTTTCACCCTGTGGGCTGCGTCCCTCACCCCAATACGGCAGAAAAGTAGAATGCTCTGTGGTGCTTTCACGCTGATTTTGACCCTCTACGGCTACAGAGCACTAAGCGTAAAGAAGGCTTGGAAGCTCCTCCTCTGGACACATTTTTTAAGCAATTAGGGAGGGCGGCAAAGGCCGCAAGTGGCTTAAAAAAGGGTCTCTTGCGCTCAAACACCCAGAGCCACTGACCCTAAAGGCCGCCCTTGCACTATTATGGGATTTCCAAGGCCTTCTTTCTGCAAGCCTTCCTGCAAACAATTCTGCAGTGCAGAGAAGGTAAAAGACTGGAGGGGACAAAGGACCCAGGCACATGCAGCTTGTAAGGACAACTCACAGGGTGGCGGGGCTGAGGCTCCATGGTACGGAACCTGCTCTGTGTGCAGGTTTGACTCCCGGCTTCTCCAGGAAGGGTGAAAGAAATGCCCCCCTTAAAGCAGACAGGCGTGGCATTATCGGGCTGGACAGAATGAACCCCGGGTGCGCTCGCTGTGCCCAACTCCGCAGCCACAGGGTAGCTGGCATCTCATGCTGACGGCCCGCTGTCTTCTGGGATGCCAACTCTTACCTGTCTTGTTCCCGTGGGCATTCCTGGCAATCCGGATGGCCACTGGCTGAAGCGGAACAAGAAACTCCCTGACGTTTTGCTACGGAAGCAGACATGAGTCGGTTAACAAAGCTCCTGAAGAAAGGTATGCCAAAATATTCATCCCTAGTGGAGCTCGTTTTCTGGTAGCACAGCCCAGAAAGCTCCAAATCCTGGTGCAAGCCACCTTCATATGCAAAAATGCTCTCTCTGGTTTGGTTTTCCTGCCTCAGCTGACAACCAACTCGAGAGAGGTCATATTTAACATCCTTCCCAAAGCATCCATTTAACAGGTTGCCCCGTAACTCTTGCTCCAAAATAGACACTCTCACTAGGTTATTCTATACACTTTTCTTATACCTGCATCCTGCCTTTCTTCTGTCCCAGAACTCAAGGCAGTTCATATACGCCTTCTCCTCTCAATCTTATCCTCACCTCAACAACCCTGGGAGGCTGGCTGGGCTGAGAGGGTGTCACCCAGTGCTCTCCATGCCTGAATCCAGACCTCCTGAGTGTCCCAGACCTGTGCTCTTAACCACGATACCTCCCTGCCTCTCCAAAATGTATTATTATACTGCACAGTATGATCTCTCACCGTTGTCCTTCTTGTGGGGAGCTCAAGGAAGTTCCTGCAGCTCCATTTTATCCCCACTGCAGCAACACTGCATCCGGCTGGGCTGAACAAAGGCTCCAGGTCACCCAGTGAGGTTCATGGTCAAGAGGAGACGAGGACCTGGAAAGCCCAGATCGCTGGCCCCATGTTCCAACCTGGATTCTGGCATTCTGTTTGCGCATGATCACCAGAGGCTGGTATTATCTGCCCCCCGCTCCCAAAAAGCTCCTTGGTTCCTCCGAGCCCAGCCGCAATCCCCTCCCGGCATGATGCGGGCGGCAAAAGGGGCTTACCTCTGTCACATTGAAGGGGGCACCCCGCAGCTTCACCGTGTGTGGCGTGCTGGGCTTGTTTGCTCCGGCTGGTGTTTTGACCTGCACAAGACACGCGTGGAGCCAAGTGAAATTGTCCGGGGGTGGTGGGGGGGGGGGGGCGGAGCTGGCAGTCCTGAAGGCCAAAGCACTGCCACATGAAGCCCAGCCCCAAACGAAGGGGGCCGTCCATCACATCCGAGTCAAGAGGTGCGCTCGAAAAGCTGCAGCTGAGCCATGGCTTGGGAGGGGGGCCAGGCCATTGAAGAATAAGGGACCCAAGAAGAGAAAGCCAGGCTGTGACGCGGATTTCAATTGCAGGGAGACAAGTGCAGCTGTGTGCCATGTCGTGTAGCCATTCTAGTAAACTCGGTGGCTGCTCAAGATCAGGCCACGTTCAATAATTAGATTTATATCCCGCAAGAATCCAAAGGCAGCTTACACAACCCTCCTGCCTCTGTTTTAATCTCGCAACAGCCCTATGAGGTAGGCCAGGCTGAGTGTCATAGAGCTTCATGGCTAAGTGGGGTCCGGAACCCAGATTTCCCCAGACCCAGTCCTCCCCTCTCCCTACCACACAGCACCTGCCCTTCCCTTTCGAGATCCACCAGCTCCACACGGTCACTGTCTCTTCCCCATGGAAAATTAAGTGGCTTGTACTTCAGGGGAAGCAAGCGACCACGTGGATTTAATGGGTGCGTCTACCGCATGCTTAAAATGGCAGCCGTCTCTCCTGCATGCAGAAGCCGCCTGCATTCATTGGCTCACAGAATCACCGTGTGCCTCCGTAAACTCACAAAACAAATGGATCACCAGGCCAATTTTCGACCACAGTTCCAAAACGCATGCACGTGCCTGAGCCCTCCAGATAATTTAGACTACTGCTCCTAACACACTTGAACACTGGCTATCCTGGCTGGGGCTGATGGACAGTGTAGGCCAAGGTATTTGGAAGGGGCTAGGGCTAGGGAAGAGTGGGTTGGATCATGCCAGGACGCACCTGCGATGTGGCTTTCGGGCTCTGGATCCCTCCGGCACTTGCCGCCTTGACCTTTGCACCCAGTGCAGCCCCTTCGGCAAGGCCAGAACCAGCCGACTTCGCCTGCCTCGGCTTCTCTGCTTCGGCAGCCTCGTCACTGCTTGTCCCCTCAGTCTCGCTTTCCTCTGCCGATGACAGCAGTGACTCATCCCCTTCCACCACTTTTGTTTTCAAGTAGGCCATGTCGGAGAGCTCCTGCCTGGCTGCTGCATTTCCTTTGGAATTTTTCTTCTCTGTGGATTCAGAAATAGAACAGAATGTCACCAGCCTTTGTCTGGGCAGGCAGGCATCGAAAAGGGCTTACACAGGATGCAACTTGAGCTCCAACTAGAGAAGGGAAGTGATATGCCCGGGGATCAAGAAGAGGGCAGCAGAGTTGCGGGAAGGAAGGCCTGTGCACCCCCAAACATAAACGCAGTCCTCGTCCTGTTGCGGAAGTTGCTTTGCTCACCTGCTTCTAAAAACAAAGAGGAAAATGCATTCCGAGAGGGAGAAATGCCAGAACATGGGAACAAGATGCGTCAGGCTCTTGGGATGCCCAGAAAGTTTGGCCGGTTGAGTGCAGAGCTGAAGCAGCGTATTCCCCCCAGCACCGAAAAGAGACCCAGATTCTGCACTAATTAAGTCAGGAGCCCCCAACCTTTCTGGCCCAATGGATATGTCTGCGTGTTTCAGAAACTGCTGATTTGACATTGGAGGCTGCAGCTTCTTCAGCAAAATAAGAGTCTATTGGACACTCTTTTAAAAAGTGGTATCTGAGCCTGAGCCATGATAAACCAATCTTCCACTCATGTACCACCTGAAGGATATTTCCTGGACAGCAGAGTGGTTGAGTAAGCCAGCTGGCGATCTCTGAAACACGCTGCCCCAAAGTTATTAGGGCTTTTCAAACAAGTCTCACATTCTTAAAGCCAACCCAGCAGCCCTTGTCTAACCAACTCAGACTTGCTTTGTCTGGGTATCTTTTTCTCCTTCAACCTGACCCCCATTTGGCATTTTAGGTGCCAGGCTAAAACCTTTATTTGCCCAATATGTTAAAGTCTGACTGTTCTTTTAATATGGGTTTTATTGTTGACTGGTTAAGAATTTGATTAGGCTGCTGTGTTTTATTTTATTTTTGTCTTACTGTTAAACTGTCCCAAGACTATGGTAAGAGATGGTCTAAAGCACTTTTATTTTTTTTTTTTAATCTAAGCAAGAGAAGACTCTCCAGGGCTTCTGTTTCTGAGTACCCTGAAAAAATGTGCAGAACCTTCCCCTGCTTCTTGACCATGTCAAAAGCTCAGAACAATGGAGACAAAAGCCCAAGCTGGCTCAGAACTGGAGGCATGCACACACAGTTGCCAACCTAAGTGTGACATCACGTCTGTCACAACCATGAGCCTTCTGGTAGCAGGGAGTGCTATGGCATGGCTGAGAACAACTAACACCTGTGGACCCGACATCACCTTCTCCAATCCAACCTGTAAGTTCTGTGCAAAAAAAGACCACAAACGGAAGCATGCCAGCTTGTTCCGCAGGGTGCTAATTTCTTCCGAAGAAAAATACGACACCATTTATGTCAAGCGCTCCAATTACCTCGGGCACTGCCAGCATCCGAACCCGCCACTCCAGGCTCTGCTTCCTCCTCACTGAGGCTGTCCGACTCATCCGAGTCGAAGTTCAGATAATCATCCTCCGACTTGGCCCGGCTCTTTGCGGGCTTCTCCGGTTTGGTGTCATTGGACCAGGTGGCCACCTGAGACCGCTTCTTGTGGACTGCCAGGAAGTCTCGGAATGCCTCCTCTCCTTCCAGCTGAAGGAAAGAACAGCAGAGTGGTGGAATATGAGCGTGGGAGGTCACTGAGGCCCCAGTTTTAACACCTGGCGCCTTCAAGTTTTGTGCATGTATCACAGCTTCCCAGGCTGGGTCAGATCATGAATCCCACAAGCTTGGGTTTCTCTACTCCAGGGTCTTTCAGACCTTGGGGCTGGGAAAGATCCCTGCCCAGGATACCAGAATGGAGAAGAAAACCCTAACAGATTAGCTGAACCAATGAGCTGACACAGCCTAGGAAACTGTGAAGCAGATGAGAAAGTCAGGAATAGCTATGATTTTTTCAAACCACCCCATTTTCAGCTGCACACTTGCAGAAGTGCAGAGTTCCTATTCTTCTGTGTGCTGCTCTCTTCCCCCTCAAGCACCCACATCCAGTGCAAACAGTCTACACCGCCACCTCCTTTCAAAAGGTTAGGACTTGCCTCTTTGAACTCCACTGCTTGAATTGTCTTCTTTTTACCCTGGGGAACCAAAATAATAATAAATAAATAAATAAGGTTGCCATAAAATGACAGGAAAGCAATCAACATCCTGTCAGGTCACGGGAGAACAAGCAAGTGCCTCAAGAAGGCACGTGGCCAGATCTTCCTAAAGGTATTTTTAGCACAACAAAAAAAATCACACTTACTTGCTTTACTTCTGTATGTCCCAAACCTTTGGGGGAATTTTTAGGAGCTTCATTGGACAGTCTGGGCTTTGTGGAGTGTTTGCTCCAAGCTCTGGGCTTCTGTGGGTCTCCGAAAGACTTACAGAACTCAACCTGGAAAAGCAAGAGCTGCATTAGCATGCTAATCTTGCCCGTCAGTTCTAGCTGCTTTCCTGGCTCATGGGCTGAACAGCACAGCTTCCGTATAGTCTGCAGTGCCTGCTCCTGCCTAGCCTTGAAAGCTAAGCAGGGCCAGGCCTAGTCAGAATCTGGATGGGTGACCTGAGAATACGATTCTATGACTGTTGTAAACTGCCTAGAGAACTTCAGCTAGGGCAGTACAGAAATGTTATTAATAAAACAGGGAAAAACGAGTGATCTTTCTGAAGGATTTCTGTAAGCTTTGAAATCATAAAAAGCAAAAGCTAAAAAAGTAAACATTTACTATGTTTTGCTGTTTACTAAAACTAGCATACCATACTGAACAGGAGTGCAGTTAACAAAAGTGTTTAGCCAATGAGCAATAGAGATTGTGGTGGTGTGTTTTACGTGCCATCAAATTATTCTCGACTTCCCAGGTGGATCCTATGAATTGATGCTTTTAAATCTGTCCTGTTCTTAGGAGACCCACTCAGCTCTTGTATATTCAAGGGCGTGGCTACCTTGATGGAGTCCATTCAACTCTAGTTAGTCCTCCCTTTCTTCTTATGCCTTTGACTTTCCCTAACATGACTGGCTTCTCCAGGGACTCCGCTTTCTCATGATGTGCCTGAGAGGTACAATAGCCCCAGTTTTAATATTTTTGCTACCAGGGCAAGTTCTTGCTTGCGTTGATCCAGGATCCACTTTTTGTCATTCGGCTGGCCAGGGTGTTTGCAAAACGAGAGCCGCTAAGAGTTTCCTGTTGTTGTCAAACAAATGTACCATTAATAGCCTGTATCAGCCTGGTGCTCTGTAAATATGCTGGACAACAGTCCCCATGGGCCAAGCTAGCTGGAAGCAATGGGAAATGTAGTCTGATGGTAGGAATAAGTCAGGATCAATTTCAGAAAAGCCCTCAAGAACCATATGCCAGTGGTGGGCATAGCAAAGGGGGTAGGACCAGAAATTCTAGTATATTGTATCTTAAAGCTCCTAAACTTAAGATACAATATGCTAGATTAATCAGCTGCGCCCCTACCTGGAGTACGACTGCCTGGCAACGGTGACACACGCGCTGGTGACTTCCCGCCTAGACTTCTGTAACGCGCTTTACGTGGGGCTTCCCCTGAAGACAGTCCGAACACTTCAATTGGTGCAAAATAGAGCTGCCAGGTTGCTGACGGGAACGGGGCATTATGTTCACATGACTCCAGTCCTCCGTCAGCTTCACTGGCTTCCCACTGAAGCCCGGGCCCAATTCAAGGTGTTGATTATGACCTATAAAGCCCTAAACGGCTTGGGTCCTGGTTACCTAAAGGAGCGCTTACGTTCTTCCTTCTCTTTTCTCCTCCTATATTTTTATTTACTTATTTTATACTGATAATTTTAATTTTATATTTGTAACTCAATGTATTTTTTGTATTTAATGGTAATTTATTATGTTCTATTGTATTTCAATGTATTTTATTGTGTTGTAAGCCGCCCCGAGGTTTCGGCAAGGGGCGGCATAGAAATGTTATAATAATAATAATAATAATAATAATAATAATAATAATAAACTTTAGGAAAGGCATTTCCCTTTGAGAATGGAGAAAGCTGCACAAAAGCTGTGAAATCACACCTGACCACTGGGGAAAGAAGGGTATGGGTTATCTTGGGAACCCAGGAGGACCAGAGAGTCTCTGCCCCGCTGCAGTCAAACACATCTAGAGGGCATGAGATCAGGGAAGACTGTGTTACAATAGATCTGAGGAGAACCTCACCGTGACTTTGGCCGTGTCGATAAAGCTCCTGTTGAAATGTGCTAGAGCGGCCTTTGCGTCATCCTCAGATTTAAAGCCAATGAAGCCAAATTTGCGGAACTTGCCATCCTTGGTGAATTTCAGGCTGGAATCTGTAAGCGTCCCGAAAGCAGCAAAGAGTTCCCGGAAGCGGTCTTCCTTTATCTGGAGAGAAAGAAGTGATCAAAGTTTATTCATTCCAAAGGTATTCCTCTGATTCCAGATTTTCTTTCTTATGCTGTCTAGTACAAATATTAATCTCTGCTACTGGATAACTGGCCAGCTCTTATTTCCTGATAGCCTAACTTCCACTAAGAAACTGTCACGAAAAATACCCCATATTGTCCACCAAACACCACTTGCAGCTCATCAAGAAATGAGATTAATGTATTCTGGAATCTGTCTTAAGTGTCCCTGAAATTTAAAAAATCTATCAGGCTCACAAAGATCATAATTCTGCACACAGACTTAAAATCACTCATTCAGTGGAATTTAAACAACTGAATTTTATGCAGGGTCATAAATCAGAAACCAGCTCAGCTAGAGCTGTAACCCTATGAATATATCCAGGTATACCATCTGAGTTCACTGGGTCTTTGGAGTAAACACACATTGAACTGAATGCCACCAATTAATCCTTTAGAAATATAAAACACTTTTGGGTTTCTCACAACCACTCCCAAAACCACTGGGAGAAACTGGATGCTAAAGAACAAGCCTGTCAAAGAGAAACACCTAATTCCAGTTATAGTCAACAATACGGAGGTTTTGGATAATATTGTATTGGAGTGTTTTTAGGTAAATTTCCATCAGAACATTTGCTGATGGCCAAGAAAGTAGACTAATCAGGCATATTTATTTTATTTGTTTTAGTTAAATCTTAGAGATACCCTATTTTTATCCCATTACACAGCTTGAAATAGAAAATAAAACATCATTAACATGATTTAAATGCAGTTATCTTATTGCAACTCTTGCCAGTAGCACGTAACTACAGCAAGTTTGTTGTTTAAAAACAAAAATAAAGATCCTGGAAACTGTTAACACATCAATTACTTTTAACAACCTAAAGAACACACAGTGTTCTGATCACCACTCAGTTGCTTCAACTCTCTCCGATTAATGTTAAGCAACCCTCAATTTCTCTATCTAGTCATTATTTAGTAATCTCTTTTCACATTCAGGCTAATATATTTCAGAGTCATCTAAACACACTTTCACATATTTGCTGAAGACGGTCACCAGACAAACGTTAAACACATTAAATTTAATGTCCCCAAACTTCGCAGGTTTAGACAGAAGCAGGTCCTACAACTTCCAGCATCCCCTAGGCAACACGGCTGTCTAAAGAATACTGGGAGTTCTGGCTTTTCTGTCCCCTCTATCCAAACATGCATAGGATTGCCCCTTAAGTAACCCTTCTTCAACTTGGTGCCCCCTGATGTTTTGGACTACAATTCGCAGCATCCGCAGCACTGCCCCTGCTGGCTTAGGACAATGGGAGTCGTAGTCGTATCTATCCAGTATGCTGCCGGGTGGAGAAAGGAGGGCCCGACTGCGTTGACACGAGTCCGACTGCTCCCCCCACAAATCTCCTCACCCCGTTCGGCAGGTTCTTCACAATAAGGCGCGACATGCTGCCACCCCGGCGGCCCCGGCTCCTCCTCCGCTCCGAATGCGACGCAGCCGCTTCAAGAAAGACGCGGCACCAAACAGTCACGCCGCTCCCTGGGCGCCGCCATCTTGCGCACTCCGTGAGATCACGTGACACAAGGACCGCCTCCCCGCCGCCTCAGTGCGCCTGCGTGTGTGTGGAACCGCGCCGCCTCGGCCAAATACGAGCCTAAAGGGGAGACGGAGTTTAATGACTGTCGATCAACACGTCCGGTTCTCAACAAAACGCTTGCGGGATGTGGAGAGAGAATACCTGGAAAGATAAATTAATAAAAATAATAATGCAGGAACACCATGGAGCAGTATCCACACTCGTTGTACTACAATACCCATTATCCATACTGACCGGAGATGATGGGAAGTTGCTACTAGGAATTTGAAGCTCTTAAAGAGTTCTTTGAGAGTGTCGATAAGCAAGTGAACGGGGCGATCCTATGGACAATTTACTTGGACTTCCAAGAGGTTTTTGTCGAAGTCGCTCACCAAAGGCTCCTAAGCAAACTTAGCAGCCATGGGAAAAAAGTGGGGGGTGGGATCCTCTTATGGATCTCTCACTGGTCAAAGAACGGAAGAGGGAGCATGGGAATCAATGGCTCCTTCTCCCCGTGGAGAGCTGTCCCCTGCATAGCCCAGCAGGATTTGGTATCGGGAACGATGCTTTCCGACCTGTTCATAAATCATCTGGAATTAGGAATGGGTAGTGAACTGGCCAAGTTTCAGCGTGGTTAAAACCAGAAGGGATTGTGAGACGCTCTAAAGGCTCCCTCCAAGCTGGGAGAATGGGCATCGAAATCGCAACTTCAGTCCAGTGTAAGCAAGTTCAAAGTGATGCGCGTTGGGGTAGACATCCCAGCTCGATGGAAAAGTGGGCTCTGCATACTGCTGCCGTGAAAAGGACAAGCTCTTTCCTCTTCCTTGTCCATACATCCTTAGGCAATGGTCTTTCAAGCTGCCCACACTTGTTAGAGTTGCAAGTTAACATATAGAAACTCTTTCTTTCGTTCTCTCTCATCCTGTCAGCCTGAACCCAGTACCTTTTCCACGCCATGCCTGTCTCCCAGTGTCTTTCAGCATTCTTGACCATTCATCTTGATGGCAGGCCCTTCTGGAAGCTGAAATACTGCAGAGGACCTGGGCAGGGTGCTAAAGTAGCCCCCTTCTTGCATTTATGCAGGTGGAAATAAGAACAAAAAGAATTGAGTCACTGATCTGTTATAAAGAGTTAACAATGGACGGCCACTGTTGCTCACATCCAAGAGCCGTGGAGGTGGCATCATTCTGTATTCTAGTATCCCTATGTTGCATCTGTAACTTGGAAGTCTAATATCTGTTTATTGCAATTGTTTAGCTACTTATATTGTTTTTAAATTTGGTAATTTGACATTTTCCTCTGCCTTTTCTAGTCATCTATGTTTAATGCTACATTTCTATTGCATGCACATTTTATGCAATGTTTTATTGTATCTTGGGAATTACTGTGAAAGAGCCGAGAGCTTTGACATAAATATGAAATAAAGAAAGTATCTAATCTTCCCACCTCAAAACAAAGCAAAAAACTACCTACTTTTCTCTCCATAATAAGTCACCCAGAAGGGGTGTGTGTGTAGAATCTAGACAAACAGATTAATTGATATTTTTGCATTGCTGGGTTTATGGGAGCAGTTGAATGGAAATACAGTGAGACCTTTACTAAGCTCTGTGAAAACGTCCTGCGAGATGCAAACACGTGACTTGTCTTAAGAGTAAAACAAAAGCAAAACAAACAAAAGAAATATTTTAAAAAAGGAAAAAAAGTACTAAGAGTGGGCAGGAGGTGGCGAAAGAGAGTAAACAGAAACCTCACCTGGCTGGAATTGCAAAAGGAAGAAAAACGTCAGATATTCTCGGAAAGTATTGTATTGAATGTGTTTCTACTATCCACCTCTGGCATCTTGCATGGAAGAGAAGCAGCTGGAAGGAGAGGCTCCCAGTTTTGATTCTGGGACAACTTTGGTCCTGTTTCCCCTTTCTTACGATGCATGAAGCATCTTCCCACCCAAGCATCTCTCTGCCCAAGCCCCCAAAACTTCTCCGACGGTCCGGATAAGAAATGATGGCCGAGAAGAGAATCTAAGGCTGTGCTTGGGCTGCTGCGGCTCCCAGCACGACTTAGTTCCGCTCTAAGCAGGCCAGGACTGAGCTTTTCCTTGCAAGGCCGTTTGCAGGCAGCAGAGGGAGCTTGGAGCTTGTTTATCTTGTCTATCAAAGGAAATGCGGACCAACCTTTTCCAAAACGGCCATCCACCCGGAGAAAGAGGAGCGGCAAAGAAGGAAACCACTTGGCTGCCCAGGACTTGTGGCTGCGGGTGTGACCTTGTTTTCAGAAGAGAAGAAAAAGGTGCAAACGAGGAAGAAGGCACAGACATGTCAGATATCTGGCGGAAAGCCCGGAAGGGTTCTGCCTGCCACAGAATGAGTGTAACACTGACCTAGGTTCAGATTTGGTCCAAAGTGCAGGTCGGTGTTGATCCGTGACAGCCTTTCCGCGAGGCCTGTTCTCCCTGGAGGAGGCGCCTGCAGATGGGAACACAGGAACGACTTGTGGCATCACGGCCAGTTTTGGAGAGCAGGTGCTGAGCCTCTGAAAAATGCAGGCTGCTGTGTGGATTGCTATGAGCAAACCAGTTTCATATCCTGGTTGACTGGGAGCAGGACTCTGGTAAATGGAGCGGGTCGTTGTTGCCCCTTCCAGACCAGGATGCCTCGGAACATGCTGAATTACGAGAAGGAGTGTTATACGGCCGCTAGGAAAACGCAGTCCTCCCAGCCACTGTGAGAAGGGGCGATTCTGAGGAGCAGTGGCTGAAGAGGCTGGCAGCCCGCTCTTCAAAGGGGCCAGCACTTGGGATTCACAAGCCCTGGTACCACCACGCCATTGACGGGAACGATGGTGAAATTTTCTCCATGCAAGCCACTTCCTCGTGGTTTCTCTGCAGAAAATGAGCCCGATCGAGCGGAAATGGACAGGGCTGCCTTGTTGGTTCGGTTTTGGGGGTGACACGTGTGCTCACGTGAGCCCAGGTATTTCCCTACAATCTGAAATAGTGCACCCATTTCCATTTGCAGCTTTGATCAGAACTAGAGGGTATTTCTTCCATTTGTTCTGGGGGCTGCCCCATACTGCATCATTTGCATGTATGATTGAATGTTTATATACACATCAGATTTATACCACACTTTTTTCCAATGAGCTCAAAGCTGCTTACATCAGTTTCCTCTTCCTGTTCTCAGTCTTATCCCCAGAACAGCAGCCCTGTGGGGTAGGTTGGGCTGAGAATCTGTGCCAGGCCCAAAGTCATGCAGTTGGCTCTGTGGCTGAGCAGGGACTAGCACGCAGATCGCCTGAGTCCCAGTCCTAACTACTGCAAGATTTCGTAATGTTGATTTTAATGGGCGAAGCAGATGAATTAGGTGTGAAAGTTCAGGATCTAATAATATGAACAGCTCAAAAATGAAAGGTTGGAGGGATGAGTGGTTTGCTGGCTTTGTTAAAGATGTATCTCAAATGTAAATTTTAAAATTTGAAATCATTGTTGAAAGGTGTTAAGACAACCATATTGGTTAAATCAGAAGCTTTGTTTAGCCACTGCTGACCTACTTCACAGGGCTGTTGTGAAGACAAAAGGGAGTGGAGATGGATTATGTATGCCACCCGGGGTTCCTTGCTACAGGGAAAGGGTAGAATATAATTATAATAATTTAAAAATAGCCTGACTGGAGCTTGTGTTTGTTAACAAGCAAGCACGCGTGCCCTTGAAAACACTTTCGCTGAGAAGGTTGTCTACACCAGTCCACCACGCTCCAGGGTTTTCAGGCTACGGTTCCTATCATCCTCAACCCCACGACCAGGGAGCATGGGTATTCGAAAGACCATCAGGAGAGCATCGGCTCGGTGCAGGCTGAGTTTTAGAAGCAAATGCACGTCAAGACCTTTGAGAAGGATCTAATGAACCTCTGCAAAGGCCAGAAGGAAGCCCCCACCTCAAACGTACCTGTGTGCCCCCCCCGCTCCCCATCCCCAAACTTTGGCCCACGAATCCAATGAGGCAGACACACGAAATACCCCCCCCCCGCTTCCCTGGGGCCGCGCTTTGTCCCCAGGAAGGGAGGGGGACGCTCGCCTGATGGGGGGGCCTGGGGGGCGGGCGGGCGCGCATGGCGCGGGGGCTAACGAGATGGTCCTTCGGGAAGTTCAAGGCGGCCTGTCGCAACGGATTAGGGCCTGGACGAGGCGCGGCGCGGCGCGGGGGAGCAGGGGTCACCTTGCCGTGCGATAATATTATGGGATGCCCGCGGCTGCGCGGGCGCGGGCGCGGGGCCGGGGCGCGGGGG